AATGTGGGGGGTGGGAAATTAAAGAATACAAAAAAAACCTCTCCCCACCCCCCCCCCCCGGCGGGGGACTAATGGGGGCCAGGGGGGGGGCCGCCCTCCGCTCCTGGGGGACCTCAGCGGCGGCACAGGGGGGGGGCGCGGCGGTCCACGCCGCCTGTACTCCCCTCCGTGTAGGCCTGCGTGACTCCTCCTGGACTTCCATGCAACGGGGAGCTGCATGCACGGGGAGATACTTTGAGTGCCCCCTCCGCCTCCACAGTGACGCCATTAAGTCCTCGGCCGGCGGCGGAGGGTGGAAATGGTTCTGTTCCGTATCGGTTAATTCCCACCTCAAGTCTTGTGCCCAGGTCATCCTGTAAGGGTTCAGGGAAGGAGGCAGAGGATTAGAGGAGGGCAGCGAGGGTCATCTGGACCAGGAACTGCGAAGCGGGGGAGGAGCTGTGCGTGTTCAGTCTGGAGGAAAGATGGCTAAGGCGGGAACCGATCGCATCCTTCGGACATCTGGGCGTAGGTCTCGGTGGAAAAATTCAAGACTTGTTCTCTTCGGTTCCCAAGTACAGGATACAGAATGATGGGTTTAAGGTAGAGGAAGGGAAATTTCACTTGAATGTTAGAAAAAACTTCCTAATGATAATTGCTGTGCAACAGTGGAACCAATTCCTAGCGGGGTGGTGGGCTCCATTTTACTGGGTGTCTTCAAATAAAGGCTAGACAGCTGGGGGGGGGGGGTTTGTGCCTTGGAGTCTGTTATTGACTCCTGGGGAATGCCTGGACTAGTCCCTGCAGTTTTCTTGGCAAGGTTTTTCGGAAGTGGCTTGCCCTTGCCTCCTTCCTGGGGCTGAGAGGGAGGGATTGGCCCAAGGTCACCCAGCTGGCTTCGTGCTTAAGGTGGGAGTAGAACTCACCGCCTCCCACTTTCTAGCCTGATGCCTTAACCACACACCAAGCTGGCATTTAGACAGGTGTTTTGGGATACTTTAATTTGGAGTCCTCCAGTGAGCAACGGGTTGGGGGTCAGAGGCCTAAATAGCCCCTTCCAAATCTTGGATACTATGAATGTGCTGTGGGATAATGGGAGATGTAGTCCAGTCCATCTGGAGGACACATGGTTGAAGAAAAAGGCTTGAACTGTGTGAACCTGAACAGTCTGAAGTAAATATAATCTGGGTGGGCTATACATTTTGTTATGCCATGTTTTCTTTAACATTTGTTTATTGAATACATTGCAACAGCTGGATTTGTACAACATGCTACAGTGGTACCTCTAGTTACGAACTTAATCCGTTCTGTGACTGGTTGCAACTCAAGTTGGTCTCAAGTCGAGGTAAATTTTTCCATAAGGTTCAATCTAAATACGGTTAATCCGTTCCGCCCTCCGAATTTGGTCGAACCACGAGGCAAATTTCCCCATAAGGTTCAGTGTAAATACAGCTAATCCGCCCTCCGAATTTGGTCACACCCCGAGGTAAATTTCCCCCATAAGGTTCAATGTAAATACAGCTAATCCGCCCTCCGAATTTGGTCACACCCCGAGGTAAATT